GAATAGCTTCCTTGACCCTACGTGTGTACCAAAGTTCAGAGAAATTTCGTCTTTGCAGTAAAATCTTCAGTATTAGATTTTGATGCCTGAAATAAATGTTCGTAAGACAAAAAAGCAATTTCAGATGTTAGTGGACAAAACTTGTGCAATAATAATTTCAACTATATTGCAGTCCTTTTTGCATTTTCTAAAAGCTAACGATATAAACATTTGCCTGAAATAACAGCAAAAACAATTTCCCATGGGCACTCGAGAAAATAAATTTCAAAGTTCAGAGAAATGATGCAAACACGGGTAAAATTTCATCGTCAATTTCATTTCACCAGTACTTTAAATTGTTTTATATGAACTTCAAAATTTGTTTTCGACATTTGGGGTTGTTAGAAATGATTTCTTTCGGGAAGATATTTAAAACAGTCGCGCAGAAGTTTGCCGACACGATGTAAATAATCTCGGTACAAAGTTTTTGTCCACTTGTATGTCACTCGAACTTCTGGTATAGATTCCTTCTTAATTTCTTTCCAGGATCCTCAATCATACCCCATGCGTCTTTTTGCGTCGGACTCTGCATCCCCGAACGTCCTCATAGATCATTATTAATTGTTCTTCGATAGAAATTTCTGAAAGCAGTTAATTTTGTGAGTAAACCACTGATCGGGAAAGCAGAATGACTATTTTACTTTGTACCATGACATACAGCCAATCAGAAAAAAGGAAAGCCGTTGTATATTTGACAGTTTTACATCCAACCTTCCCATCATGCGCCACGCGTATATCGCATTGATTGTGTTGGCCACTGTATTCTCTATGGCATGGAATAAAATAGTTATGCAACGCTCTCTCGTGGTATACCATGGAATATCCCACTCGTCACTTGTATTTTCTTAGTATACATACTTGGCTTAAGGCTCATGTGTATACCGAGAAAATACAAGTCACTCGTGGGATATTCATGGTATACCACGAGAGAGCGTTGCCTAACTAGTATATATATCCCTCATAGCGGAGATCTTAGCATGTCATATCGTATGAGGATTGAATATTTCGCAGACCGGTAAACTGCCTTTCAGTAGTAAAACACGTCGTCTTCAGAATCCGCCTTGTTCACAACATTTCCTCAAACCCCATTCACTATCAAGACAATTCCTTTGAACAATAGTGCTTGACGATATGTACAGTTTGGAGAGCGATCGTTTCCTCTTCTTCACTCTTTTTGATTTCCTTTTAATGTATGTACCACACTTATAAACCCTAAGATAGAAGCTCTCCCGTTCGTACTTCAATTTTAAGCTCGTTATGGCACCGGGGGGTATTTTAAGTTCAAAAGGAGTAATTTTGAGATCTGATTTTAGTGATTTGGGGACACGAAATCTCACGGTCTTCAAATTTAAACTGACGTATGACGCATTATTCATTAACCCAGTGACGTCACTAAGGTCGTTAAAGTCTCCTCTCAGTGCCCAGTCAGGTCGATAAAAAGATTAAAAACTCATTGCCCAAGAGTTATGACAATTTTAAATTATCGAATAATGCAATAATTTATATGATAATTTTGTTCAACGAACACTTTAACTGTAATTGGTGCCTTGAATTTCACCTGCTCTTTTATCCCATTAGCAAGTTACTTGTAAAATATATTAAACGAGTAAAATAGACGACAAATTAGCATTTCACTGCAATCTTTCTCACGATTTATTTCTACGATTAATCTCTCACTAGCACCGAGTTTCAGGCTAAGGTGAAAAATTAAAATACATAAACTATCGAGCTGTTGTTAGATATTTATTTACTGTTTTCTTAAATAATTTGCTATGATTATGTTACGATCGTGCTGTACAATTTTTTCTTTTGTTTGGTCTTTTTAATCCTCTTTTTTCTTTTCCAGTAAACTGGAAGAAAGTTATGCTCATTTTATTAAATGGGGTTTTGGGCGTATTTTTTTTTTAACTAACTACGTACGTTTATAGTAAAAGGTATTTTTCCAGGCATTGAAATATGACATTTTCTTTGAACATTTTTGTTACATTATGACAACAGCAACAACAACAACAACAACAACAAAATCAAACTGAGCAGATGGAGTCGGAATACTAGTTTTTAATATTTCAAATTCCAGTTATCTATTACTGAACAAATGTAAATTAATTTCCGCAGCAAAATCGGAACTCACTACTCGTGGACCAAAGAATTACAGGATTTATCATATGCTTTATGTAATAAGCGAAAAGCGAAATCACGTCCGCATAAAAATAAAACATGTTTGTCCACATTACGGCATCTCCTTCGAATTCTCTTATGAGCATTAAAACACCTCGAGGAATGGAACAGATTTGAAAAACGGCAACAAGGGAAACCAAAACTAAGACCAATCGAATCTTTTTCTTGCAACGCTGAAATGCGTCCTTATTATCGGTGTTTTTCCTCGAGAGGTTCATTTCTCGTCTGGCAAAAACGAACACGTTAACATAGCACCAAGATTGAAAAATTAACGGAAGGGCGATGAACACGAGTACGAGGTAAAACTCGTAAACACGACGGACAACCATCGAGGGGAACATCGGAACACAGTAAAATTTTCCATCTGGGTCTTGCACGAGATCGAGCATGATAGCTTGAGGTAAAGCTGCTGTGATGTAGCAAGCGAACCAGATGGCGGCAACAACCACTCTTGCTGTCTTCACGCACATTCGTCCCTTGAACGGCTGTACAATTGCACGGTATCTTTCCAGTGCGATTGCCGTGTGAGTCATGACAGACACGCTGACAAAAAGCTCCGGGATGGACACAAGGAAGTTGCACAAGAATTTACCAAAGGGCCAGCCGATGTAGTTCTCTATAATGCGCTGGGGAGCGGCAATCAATGCCATGCCAAGGTCCGCTATAGCAATGCTGAGAACCAGAGAGTAACAAGGAGTTCTGAGTCGCTGACGGGCGATAATCGCGACCACAATTAGGACGTTCCCTGGAAAACCCGTCGCTATCACGAACGCGAAAAGGACTGTAGTGATTGTCGCCGGTTGATATGTGTCATTCGATGAGCGATTGTTGAACAAAGACACATTTGTATCCATCGCACTCTCGTATTTCAGGCCCTGAGAGAGAGAGTTACCGCTCGCTGCAACTTTCCTCTGACTGTCACAGTTCACCAGCAAGGAGAATATTATTTAAGACATTGCCTTCAACCTATCAACAAAAGATTGAAAAGAAAGCGCCTAATTTTGATTCAATTTTAACCACGTACTTGAACAATTTCCTGATAACCAACTTCCGAATATGGCGGTGAAAAGTTTCTTTTCTCGCCGCCTTATAAACTATCTTGAATTTAATATCAGGCAAAAAGATTTTGTGGGCACCTTCAGTAGCCAAATTTCGAAGAAATACGGTGATGATACGCAGGCAGAGTTTGACTCCGAACAATCATTCTATTAAGCCATACGCACAGATGATAAATAGCTCGGTGAGCAATTACGCAGTTGAAGCTTTGTTATTATTTTGCCTAAAAGCTTTTTCGTTGGACCTCCTTTGTTTTTCCAGCGTTGTATTGTTTGCTGGATAATCTCGTTGGAGAACCTCAATTTGCTCGCACGAAAGTAACAGACTCATTAACCTATCGCCGTCTTGAAAGTCTTCAATAAATGTTTATTCAAATCTGTCAGGTTAAAAAATTATACAACGTTATCAGTGGCTCGTACTGTGACTAATCCACTATTATCGCTACAGTCCCGGAAGCCCTTAATTTTTATGTCAGGCAGAGCGACAATTCATCTCGAAAACAAGATTGGCCGTATTCACACTAGAGAACGAGAATCCTATCAGGACGAGTAACTGTGAATTCGTGAAACAAAACTCGTCTAACATTTATTAAGTCACATTTGAGACATAAAAGCGCTATTTTGTTGCTGGACAAATGAGTGCTTGGTTTTCCTAGTTCCAGTCCTTTCCGGGTTGTTCTATACTTTCCCAAAACTCGACCAGAAAACCCTCTGAAATAAATGTGAATTCGTGACACACTTCCACTTGTTTCTCGTTTAGTACCGTTAGGAAGCGAAACTTGTCGATTAGTCTGGTCAATTTAGACGAGTTTTCTGGCGTCAAAAATCCATTCCGTAATTCAGCCATTATCAAATCATCACGATTCATAAACAGAATATTCCGTGCATTTACGCGTTAAAAAAGTTCCTTGAAAAAGTATTTACTTCCGCGCTATCAGGCTAAAGAAATTAAAGATTTTTTCTTTACGTGTCAATAATGAGTTTGTTTGAAATATACACATCCGTTCTGAAAGTACAATACGCTCGGCGCTGGAAGCAAAACTAGAAAACCTTGTTACAAAGAGTGACCGCCAAAGCCTTTGTTTTCGGTTACGGTAAAGTACACTGATTGAATTTACGTTGTTTGTCTCTCTTTGGTTGAAGTTTCGGAAATAAATAAACAGATAAGTAAATTGTTTAGTTCCGATATATACATAAAATCAGAATAAGTATTTATCAACAGTGTATTACATGTCTATTAATATCATTTGGCGATATTTACGAAGCAAACCGAACATTTGTGCTTGGGTCAAAAACAGACTTAGATTTTGTTACGGGTTTGACTAAATAGTTTTAATGGTAGTGAGACAATATGTCTTTGTGGAAGTCTAATGTTAAAAAGTTCCTCTGTAATAATGTTTAATCCTTGAAACGCGAGATAATAAAATTTAAAAATTAAGAAAAGATGTTGAAGAGAATCGGCTTTTTTGAAATCGTTGTCATGTGTGTAAATGTACATTTCATATATGCTGTGATCGTGAATGAAATTTTATCATCTCAGCAAGTGTGCCATTATCGAGTCAGAAAGTTTGGGCAACAGGAAATTGTGCACGGAATAAACAATCGCAAAAAAAGTCATAAAAACGATAAAAAAAGGCTTTTGTTTGACGCAGTTTTGCATAATCTAAAACCAGTGGGATAAAAATCTTACGGGGATTTTGTAGGAAATATGACAGAAAGCAACGCAAGCAGTTATTTGTTAACCGACTTCCCATCAGATGTTGAAAGTAAACGTTACCACGTTAGCATTTCGCCATATTTAACGTTCGCAAAACTGAATCAGATAGCCAGCCGTAATTTTGCACGAGTAAAAGTCCTCCAGTAAAGAAACGAGTTAATGGGATATTGTAAATCCGTGAATCTGAACGTAACTGGCTTACATCATGATTGAATGGTCGTCGATTTGCAGCACTCGGCTTAGCGCATGTTAGTTGTAGTAATATAGACTGATTCAAACAACACACTTTTCAAAAGCCACTAGCTAACTAATCAATGTATCAAATTGTGTGTTACCTATGGTTATTCATCCATTCAGTGAACGGTATATTTTGATATATCACGGTTCTGTTTGACGCGGTAAAAATCGCGCGCTCTCAATCGGTTAATTTGCAAGCCAGTAGTGATCAGTCATAAACTGAAGATGAGAGACCCTGGGAATGAGGTTGCGTGTCACTGGGAGCGTTACTAGTTAACTATTCCCGTAGTTAGTATTGTAAGTTTTGTTAGTATCGTTAAATTGTAAGTTACGTGGACATTGTAAGTAGTAGGTAATTTTTGTATGTAATGTAATGTAAGATATTGNTGTTTGACGCAGTTTTGCATAATCTAAAACCAGCGTGATAAAAATCTTACGGAGATTTTGTAGGAAATATAACAGAAAGCAACGCAAGCACTTATTTGTTAACCGACTTCCCATCAGATGTTGAAAGTAAACGTCACCACGTTAGCATTTCGCCATATTTAACGTTCGCAAAACTGAATCCGCAGACAGCCAGCCGTAATTTTGCACGGGTAAAAATCCTCCAGTAAAGAAACGAGTTAATGGAATATTGTAAATCCGTGAATCTGAACGTAACTGGCTGACATCATGATTGAATAGTCGTCGATTTGCAGCACTCGGCTTAGCGCATGTTAGTTGTAGCAATATAGACTGATTCAAACAACACACTTTTCAAAAGCCACTAGCTAAGTAATCAATGTATCAAATTGTGTGTTACCTATGGTTATTCATCCATTCAGTGAACGGTATATTTTGATATATCACGGTTCTGTTTGACGCGGTAAAAATCGCGCGCTCTCAATCGGTTAATTTGCAAGCCAGTAGTGATCAGTCATAAACTGAAGATGAGAGACCCTGGGAATGAGGTTGCGTGTCACTGGGAGCGTTACTAGTTAACTATTCCCGTAGTTAGTATTGTAAGTTTTGTTAGTATCGTTAAATTGTAAGTTACGTGGGCATTGTAAGTAGTAGGTAATTTTTGTATGTAATGTAATGTAAGATATTGCAATAAAAAAATGTGGCTGTATGCAAAAAATAAAAATAAAAATAAAAATAAAAAAAAATAAAAAATAAAAACCAGCCTCGCTCTGTTTTCCGCCTGGCCGTGGGAAATCTGGGTTCTAGATTACCTAGTTAATTTGGCATACTTCATTTGTCCAACGGCGCACGCTGATGTCACTTGCTTGTTTTCGCTGGCTGAACCGTTTGCTGGTCCCTCGCGGCCCAGCCTTAAATAACTCCATAAGGGGTTTTGGATGGGCTTATAAACAGAGGGGCTTATATCCCGGAAGACGTACAATTAGGGGTATAAAATCCCGTTTCGAAATGAGCTAAAGTAGTGCTGTTCAAAATACGTTTTTCGTATACTGGTTTTTAATTAAACTTTAAAACATCACAGTAAATCGAATTCATTAAACTTTAAACTAGAGGGGGCTTATATCCGGGGGAGCTTATAATCGGGAGTGATATTTTGTTTACAGGTAGATGGGCCTATAACCGGAGGGGTTTATAAGCGGCGGGGGTGAGGGGTGGGCTTATAAGAAGCAGTTTACGGTACGAGAAAAAAAATTGCGTTTAATGAAAATCGTCAATCAAGTAACTACAAATCATTTGAGAAAAACTGTAAATCTGGGAAACGGTTTGAACTCAAATATAAGACGGGGCGAGCTGCCCCTTACAAAAACTTTTGACCAGTCGAAGTCAAATTCAGATTTGACAGAAAAACCTTATTGGGGAAATTACTGAAAATTGTGTGCAGCTGATGAAGTTTTTACCGGCAGTATCACAGAACGTCGTGCGAAATCTTCGGCCGGGACATTTCGTACACGGTTGGATTTTCCTCGAACTGATCCTATCACTCCCGGCATAAAAATCTCGGGCCTTTTACTTGGAAAAATTAGCGGGTCTCTTGATGTTCGACCAAAATTGCAGCTGCGTTGTAATAGTCTTGTGAACTCCTGGTTCACAGTTTCGTCCGTACTTGTTAAAAACATGGTCACAATTCGATGAAATATTATTTAGGACGTGAGTGTTCGCATAACTCGTCCGCTATAAATTATAGTTGATGTAGAATCATGCAACTGTTGGTGCCTCGTTAGATCATGTTTTTTCGGGACGTCTTCAAACTTACATGTTCATACCTTTGACAATGTTATGAATGACGTAATTGACTGACGCAATTTATTGACGCAAAAAACTTGATGCCATATTGTTTATTTCGTTAGATCACGGTGCATCGTACCTGTTAACACGGTGCGATTTTGCCTCAGTCCTGCCTAAATTACCTCAGAGTTAATTCCGTGTGTGGCTTAACATTGCATAGCTTCGTGAAGCCGCCTCTATTTCAGTTTCTTTGCTTCGCTTGTCACATAATGAATTTATAGGTTATTTCCAGAATTATTTTTCTCTTATCTCTAGCTCGGCTCAACATCGCATTATTTTTTCTTTATAGAAAGTTCACCTTTGTAAGGATCTGGGGGAGGGAGGGGAAGACTGTTTTAAAAAGGGAAGGCAATAGAAGAAAGAACTGGATGCAGATTCCTAAGATACCAGGAACCGCAATAAGAAGGGAGCAAATCGACAACAGAAGACCATAGCGGAGCCCCATAGGAGATGTGGTAAACCCCTCGAGCTCCAAAGTATTGATTTGTCCCATACGGGTGCGTGCGCACGAACGTGCGTGCATGACTGCACCTGCAAAAGGCACGCGCCTATTTCACAAATCACGAACTCAAGCATCTTCAAGGACTTATGAAAACAAAATGGCACAGTACGCTTTTCCTTCGAATTTTGGTGCAATTTTTGGGAAGATTGGAAAAGCCATTATGGGATCTGAATCGTCGGTGAAAATCAAAACTTTCTCTTTTGTTTGAATGATTGATTTGAAAATGCAGACCGATGAACCTTCTGAAGGCAATTCACGTTTGAAATCTGGAACATTCTAACGCTTTTGAATGCGTTTCTTGGATTAATCATGAACAAGACTTAATTGATCGCACTTGAGCTTGTTCCAATCCCCTTTTTTCGCTGTATATATCAATTTCGGCGTTTTATCGTGCGACGTAGAAATTATTTGCTTTCCTCTTGACTTCAAACTAATTTCCGCTTACTGCTTCTAGTATACTTGCTTTTCCCGGTTTTTTCTTTTCTTTTTTAATGTTTTGTTACTAGAAATTACTAGAAGGGAAAGTTTATTGCTAAGTTCAGTAAAGGAATACCAATAAATAAATATATTGTAGAGCTCCCTTTTTAGCTTTAAAGTCTGTATTAAGCATGGCTTATGTATAATAGTTTTGCCACAGAAAAGTAGACCTTTTCATTTAGAAGGAAGTGTTGGGCAAGAACCAGCTAACATCGCTGATAGACATCTAATCAATTCACGTGTCAATAGTTTACGGGATATTAAAAAATAAAAACAGTTAATCCTTTTTATTCTGAATATTCCAATAAAAAATCAGCCTGATCTGTCTTCGTAATCATTGAAAACGGTTTTTGTTTTATTGCGGATGACTACAACACACTAAAATTAATTAAAAGATCTCCTTGCAATATCCTTTCAGCGACCAGTGTGGGATTTTAAACTAAAAAAAGAGAGAGGATATAAACTAAATCTGTTTCGCGAAGGAAATATGTGTCGTCATGATATTGCTAGCTTAGATGAATATCGATATCTCTTCAGTTGTTAAATCATTCTGTAAAATATTTATCATTAACATAAGTAATGTTTAGTTAGTAAAGGAGAAGTTGTCCTAAATAATAAACACACAATTAGAATACAGAACGTGTCAATCGTATAGGAACGGAGTTAGTCGTTTGTCAATTATTGCTTGGTTCACCTGACGCGCCTAAAACAAGGAAATAACTCGCAATTTGCGTTTGGCATAGTTCTCTTGTCTCTGGTGAAAGCCGCGCCGTCCGTCATTTCTTAGTCCATTGCCGTAAATGATAAAGACGTTGAATGTTGATACGTCATTGAACCAATGAAAGGCAAAATTTGGGAGGAAATTGAGTGACGTAGGATCCAAAAGGTTTTTTTTGTAAACGAAACACAAAATATGTATGCGGCATGTATTCATTTTAGAAACAAACCAGGTACACTTGTTCAGTGATAGATCACTAAGTGCGTTGCACAGGAAGGCATCTGAGGCATCTGAGGTAGGATTATACTTATACTTTCTGTCATAAGGATAAAAACAAAAACAAGATCGAAAAGAAAGAAAACTAAACAGTATAAAAATGTTAGTTTATACAGTTACGCCCCCCGAAAAGAAAAAAAAACGTTTTCTGATGGGCTGTCGCAATTATAGTTTCTTTACAAGTTTCGGAAATAAGACGTCCTTCTGAAACCAGTTACCTAAGTCTGCCCTCGCACTGTCGAATTTTCGTTAATCTTCGTCAAAATTGCGAACACTTTCATGACGGAATAGTGCTTTGCACAAAGATAATGCACTTTGAAATTTTGTTCCGGCCGAACTTCAAAGGCTTGGTTCGCCATGATAAAAGCAATATTTTTACACTTGTCTATATATTTTGCAAATTTTCAGACATAGCTTTATTAAAAATGGAAAACTGCGTGATTTGTAAAGAGAGCCAAAGTAGATATTAAAGCCATGAGGTGCAGTTCACTTTTGTACATTTTGTGGTCTGTCTGATGGTTCAATACAACACAACATGAAAATACTTCTTTGAATACTAATTGATGTAATTTTAATCTCCGAATATTATTTACTAATAACTTTGTTATGACAGATTCAAAAATATGGGTTGAAGTGTTATTCGCTCCTAATTCCTGCTCCCCTCATATTCTGCGAGTGTCGATAATTTTGCGCAGGAGCAAACAAATTTCGTCGTGTTATTGATAATGAATGCAACTGAATAAATTCATTCATTGATGGATTTTGTTTGGTTATTTCAAACGCCAAGTAATTTAGACTTATCTTTCAAAGAAAGGTAATATGCTTAGACTTTTCCTGAAAAACAAGGCTATTTTTTTTTCAATATTTTACGTCGGGTTTTATTTGTTCTTTTGAGGGATGGTGTTGATAGGCCTCAAAATTTGGGTTAACGTACTGGTTTCACAAATTAATTCTTGCGGCAAAAGTATCTCCCACTGATGCATGTAAAACGTCTACTTAGCAGGGTTACCGTTGAATTGACAAGATTACTATCCACGAAATTATGGAAATAAACTCTTTTTTAAACTGATCTCAGACTCTCACAGCCGGTACGGGTTTCAAATTCAAAATTATATTTTGAATAACCGATCAGTATTTAAAGGCCAAAACTGATACCAGCAATTCTGTTTTTTTTTTCTTGCAGAATTTTCACGAAAAAACACAGTTACCGGTTCGTGAATAAGTAATAAGCCGAAGTTGTCAACTTGAGGCGACCTAATCGACTGAATAATAAATGGAAGTCTCCCTTTTAAACAATCTCAGCAGCGATATTTTGATTTCAAATCAAACCATGACACCTGAACGCAATGGCAGCGAGCAAGAAGCGAACCAAGAGGAACTGTTCGACCCACTGTCCTACAAAATTATGGTCATCGCATTTTTTGCTGTGGTCTTCGCTTTCGGTTTCGTCGGGAACGTGTCGGTGCTGGGATCAATTTTGAAGTGGAAGCGACTAAGAAATCCTTGCGGTCTCTTGATTGCGAACATTGCCGCTGCGGATTTGGGTGTCGCCATTATTGCTGCACCTTTGAGAATCGCTGATCTGTACCTACAAGGCTGGCCCTTTGGAGAAGCTCTCTGCCGAATTATTCTTCCACTCCAAGATGTCATGGTTTGTGTTTCGGTGATTACGCATTCGACCATTGCGTTTGAACGCTACAGAGCCACTGTCACACCTTTCAAGATGCGACTGTCATCTTCGAAGATAAAATACGTTAACTTGGGAATTTGGCTGATCTGTTATGTTTTCGCTGGTCTACCATTAGCTATTCCACTGAAGGTACAGCTCTTCGAGGATACACCATACTGCTTTCCCGAATGGTCAGATCTTTATCGCAGAGTATACGAGATCTACTTGGTCGTCGTCTTCATTGTGGCCCAGCTCATGATCCAGAGCTATGCTTATGTGAGTATCATCCAAACGCTCAAAGCAAAAAGTGACATACTTGTCGAGGTGGCGGAACAAACGGGAAAAAGCTTGACTCCAGGAAAGGCAGAGAGGTCGCTTAGCTCGCGTGCTTCGTGCGCGGGAATCTTACAAGTGGCGTGCGTGGCGCGCGTGAAACGAAAACAAAAGCTCGTGAAGATGCTTCTTGTTTTGGTCATAGCGTTTCAAATCTGTCACCTTCCACGAGGAGTTACGATGCTATATCGCGAGTTTGCTGATCCTTCATTAATCAACACTACGTTTAAATATATAGATCTCGTAGCATTGGCTCTTTATTATCTCAAACATGTTATAAACCCTTTCATTTTGTTCACAATGAGTGCAGACTTTAGAATTGGAATCACGACCGTTTGTGCGGCGTGTTCCAAAGGAGAAGAAAGTACGCTTGAAACAGAAACCCAAAAGTGTAACATAAAGCGCGCAGAAGAGCCGCCAGAAGAACTGGATGAGAAACAAGAAGAAATATGGGAACAACGAGTTTAAAGAGTCCTTTCCGTTGCAAACTTAGACTAAGCAAGAATACAACATGAAAGAAAAAAAAAAAAAGAACAAGTACTTGTAATCAGTAGTGTTCACTGTAATTGACATATTTAGCTTTGTACAAAATGGGAGTAATGTAAATGAATTTTAAAACCCCGTGAACATTAATTTATAAAACCAAACTTTCCCCTTGCCGATAAATTATTCACAGTTTCGGTGAGAGTTTGATTTGCGTGAGTTGTGGCTTAATTGGAATCAATTTGTTACCTGTATGCGGCAAACCGCCTCCTCGCGGGTCGGGTGTTTAAAATTAGTGAATAACTGGTCTAAAATAGACATTTTGATTTGTTTGAATTCAGATTCTTCAAGAGCGTTCTTATGGTTAGTAACATGACAAGGTTTCTTGCCCTGGAGAATATTCCTCTTTCTGCTGAAAAAAGAAAAAAAACGAAATCGCTCGAGGTTTGGCCGAATTTCATGGCCCATACTTTCCAGAGATACCCTCCGAGCTATATAGATGGGGCTAATGGTATCATGGTAATTGTAAAATTGCTCTTTGTTCGCGGATAAACTAACTGTCAAGGCACGCAGGATTTCGAGTCGAACGTCGAGTCAGGCGAACTATTTTTTGTGTGTGAACAAAGTTAAGGTCCGTGTTATTATGATTTTCATGTAATTTGAAAACTAAAAGAAATGGTGTCTAAATTAAATTGGCTTAATGACTAGTTTTCGGGTCTTAAAGAACGATCGTAACACCCGGTTCCTCTGAGGAACTTCTCAGTTTTAATCATATAATGGCTCGTATATTTTCAAAGAACGGTGCTTGTACTGAGAAAGTTCATAAGTTCAGATTTCGAAATTAATTCACACCCGTGACTGGTATGAACAGAATGAATCTATTGAAAGATATCTTCTTGCCTCGTAAATCTGCCCAGTTAGGTTTTGATGCGGATCTCTACAATCAAATTTATCAGGGCATACATTTTTTTTCTAGAGGATATGCTGGAGTCCACCGCTTTGTTTCTTTGCTTTATATCTAATATATTTTGTTTTGAAATCTCTAAAAAAAGCTCCCCAGGGTTTACAGCAAGTGCATTGAATGACAGTGCTTGTCTATCATAGGCAGCGTCCACACCGCGCCGGAGGAATTTGAAAACGCAACTTTATTCTATGGTTAGACCTACCGTCCACACTAATCCTCATGAAAACGGAGCTTTTCAAAAACGCTAATCAAATCGGAGGAATTTGAAAACGCCGTCTTTTCATTTTCATGTGGACGGAAAACAATTTGAAAACGGAGCTTTAGGAAAACGATCTCCATTTTTCTTTGACACTCGTATTTTCTTGCGAGACGTCTCAGTGCCATGCCCGGGCTGCTTTCATAAACAACTTCATTGGAAGTAAGCTAAATTGCGTGCGCTAGAAGGGTTGCAAAAAGCACCTCGTCCCAGAATGGATTTGTTTGGAAATCGGCACCTCATTTCGGCCTTCCAAATGTAGTAATTGTTGGGTTCAATTGAGTAAGAAATTTGTGCTACAAGTATAGTTTAACCCCGAGATAAATTGTGATGGTTTACTGAGCAGGCTGGACTAAACGGGATTGGCATTGAAGAAAATGAACATGGACAAGGAGGAAAGGATGCAACCACCATTAAATCTAAATAAAACAATACTTGTACAGTAAAACAGTACTAAAACGAATCATTTCAATGGGAATTCCCTAATACGTACACTGTTTGTCTAAGAATACCAACGAAACATATAAAACATATTTCACACGACGTATGTGAACACCATCAATCTCTGTTGTAATTTATTTTGTCTGCTTGATAAGATGGAACTTATCACTTATCAAATTAGTTATTAATGTGATGGCGGTCTTAGTTTGATTCGAATGCGGTGAGGGAAAATTAATCAATTCGTTATCTGTTTGATGAAAACCACCTCAAAGCGCGAGCGATTTTTCCAAAAAAAACATACTGGTACTAAAAATATATGTCTTCTTTAATTTGCTCTGCATTGTTAAAATCATCTAAATTAAGCGGTTTCATTAAACGAATTTATAACTTGTTCCGTTCCCTTGCTTTGAGTATTTCCTTTTTTAACTGTATTTTCTCACCATTGACATTATTATATATGTTAAATCACTGGACAGGTGCCGATTCATGCGGCAGCTACTACCCCACTGGGTTTGGTTAAAGGGAGATTTTCTGTGAATTAATTTTTGGAAGATTAATTATTCTCGAAAGACTCTCTAAGATCGAGAAAACGAGCGGAGTCAGAGGCAAAAAAGGGGAGGTCCCTTTTTCTGTCACTGACCCAGCTCGTTTTTCTTTCGCCCGCCCACTTTTTCATTCGTCCCCACTTTTTCAGGGGAGCAGGGATGGCGCAGTGGTGAGAGCCTTCGCCTCTCACCAATGCGGCCTGGGTTCTATTCCTGCCCAGTGCCATATGTGGGCTCAGTTTGGTGTTGGTTCTCGCCTTGCTCCGAGGGTTTTTCTCCGGGTTCTCCGGTTTTCCTCCTTACACAAAAACCAACGCCAAAAATGACAATCTCACCAGCCTAGAGGACCCGCATGTGGCTTCCTCTCTAAATATCGTAATTTATTTATTTATTTATTTATTGAGAGCCGTGAACTGGCCAACTGGTTTGATTCCTGCTACTTGGAGATTTTAATTTTGTCAATTTGATTCGAGTTAGATTTTTCCTTTAGGATCCTCTACTAACAAAGTCAAGGTACATGCAGTGTACTCGCGAAATCCAAATTGGTGTTGACTAATAAGGGTGGGTTTCTTTGGGAAAATCTAAGATTGGTTTCTTAAATCCAAAAACGGATTTAGGGTTTCTTTACTAAGCAGATAAATCCAAGATCACTCGGACCATGGTGTATCAAAGGAACTGATAGATTCATTCTGGGTTAGGATTCATCAGTTCCTCTGTTATGCCATGCACGATCTAAGAGATCTTAGGTTCATCTGTTTACTGTAAAGAATGGCAAAATCCGTTTTCGGATTTAGGAATTCAATTTGGGATGTTCCCAAAGAAACGCACCCTAAGCAGACATGGGAAGTTTTGTGAAGTAATTACT